AATTCATGATCGAATTTTTTTGTTTTTTTTTTTTTTTTGTAACCCATGATAGAATTTTTTGTAATCCATGATCGAATTTTTTGTAATCCACGATTGAAATGTTTGTTTCTTTTTCTTGTAATCCATGATCGAATTTTTTGCTTCTTTTTTTTTTTTGTAACCCGTGATAGAATTTTTTGTAATCCATGATCGAATGTTTTGTAATCCATGATCGAAATGTTTGTTTTTTTTTGTAATCCATGATCGAAATGTTTGTTTTTTTTTTGTAATCCATGATCGAATTTTTTGTTTTTTGTTTTTTGTTTTTTTTGTAACCCATGATAGAGTTTTTTGTAATCCATGATTGAATTTTTTATAATCCATGATCGAATTGTTTTTTTCTTTTTTGTAATCCACGATTGAATTTTTTGTTTTTTTTGTTTGTTTTTTTTGTAATCCATGATCTAATTTTATGTAATCCATGATCGAATTTTATGTAATCCATGATCAAATTTTTTGTAATCCATGATTGAATTTTTTGAAAATTTGTGATTTTTTTTTTTTAATCCATGATCGAATTTTATGTAATCCATGATCAAATTTTTTGTAATCCATGATTGAATTTTTTGAAAATTTGTGATTTTTTTTTTTTAATCCATGATCGAATTTTTTTTGTAATCCATGATAGAATTTTTTGAAAATTTGTGATTTTTTTTTTTTAATCCATGATCGATTTTTTTTTTGTAATTCATGATAGAATTTTTTGAAAATTTGTGATTTTTTTTTTTAATCCATGATCGATTTTTTTGAAAATTTATTTATTTATTTTTTAATCCATATTATTCAAAGAGAAAATGAGAGAGATGATGATCCTGAGGCTACCCTATCCCAGCCATATTATTCACATATCGAGTCCCAACAGCAAAAGTGTACGGATGAGCACGACAGTGCAGGTGAGCATGAAGGATGGACAATCTTCGGGGATTTTAGATTGGGAACACAACAAAACACTAACACTCAGGGATTTGGGAATAGTCAGACGCCTGCTAATATCGATGATTCGTTTTTAGATCGAATCAATGAATTGTTAAACGAATTCAATCAATGGCACCGGCGTGACCAAGAAAAACAATAACGTCGTCTATCATTTTATTTTTAGATCATATGTTACTAATTTTATGCTTTATTGTAGTCCATGTATGTTGATATACTTATTCCATGATAATTCTATGTTTATCCTTTTGTGCTGTAAATTAAATGCTGAATGGCGGTTCATGTAGGGAAAGAACATATCAATATTCGCATATTCATTCAAAAACATGAAAATTCTTAATGGAGTGCCCTCATTTCTTATTGAATTCCTAAAAAAAAATATTTATAATGAATTTTAATAATTTTTTCGGATTTTTTTTAAGCTTTATTCTGACCGATTCACCCGATTCCCGATCCGGATCGCCGATTCGCCGATCCGGATCGATTTTTTTGGAGCCCGATCCGAGTCACCGATCCGTTTTTTAAACCATTGTATATATCTATGGAAAAGTCTTTCCAACGCTTATAGGAAAAAATAAATAGTGGTTTTACATACTTTCATCACCGTCCAAATTTCATCGCACGGTCACGATTGTCTGGTAGTGTTTTATTTTTATATTTTTTTTACAAATCAGAATAACCTAAAATTTAAATTATATATACATCTTACTGAGATGCATCTAATAAAAATATAAAAACAATTATCCGTGAAAAAAAGATTGACTAAAATACCCCCGAAACATTTCGAGGGGTATTTTGGTCAATTGTTTTCATATAAAAAATTTTTTTTATACTTTTTTAATATTTATATATTTATTATGAATACACGCTCTAAATTTCAAGTCATTTTGATTTGTGAAAAAAAAATGAAAAATAAAACACTACCAAACAGTCGTGACCGCGTGATGAAATTTGGACGGTGATGAGGGTAGGCGACATCACTATTCATTTTTGCCTATAGGCGTTGCGTAATGTTTTCTATATATATATATATATATTTCCGATTTGTATCAAAAAATAAAAAATAAAACACTATCGGACAATCGTGACCATGCGTTGAACTTTGGACGGTGATGAGGGTAAGCGAATCACTGTTCATTTTTACCTATAAGCATTTTGACGAAGTACCATGAGAGTTGAATGTATAACTTTCTCCCCTTGGAGAATGTAGGGTTGGCAACGAGTCGGGCGGGTGCAAAATTTGGACCCATAACCGAGGTCAGGTTGCTCGTTAGGTCCATTGCCACCGTATAATTATGAGCTTCTTCTTTTTTATCATTTTTTAAAAAAAAAGCTTCCATACTTCTCATACAACATAAAAGATATATATACTTACCCCCCCCCCCTTCCCCCCCACCCACCACCACCACCACCACCACCAAATCTAGCAGACCAATTTTGAATCAAGTGAGCCGGTCACCGTATCATTTAGATCCGATGCCTCAGAGTATTTTATTTTTTAAATTTTTTATCAACTAATCGTATGAATATGAAATTTGGTACGCGCCATCTTCTCAATGGTGCACACCTAAAACAAACACTAAAAGGAATTTTTTTTATAAAATGCAATTACCAAAATACCCCTTGAAACTTTTAGGGCTATTTTGGTCATTTTATTTTATTAAAAATATTATTATTATTTATTTACAAGTGCAAGTTTAAGAGATGAGTGGACATCCAAAATTTGGAGCCAAAATATTTTGTAGAAAAAAATTAAAAATAAAATAGCGTACATATGTGACTTTGTGATTCGGGCCATCTCAGTCGTCCATTCAAAATGGATGGTTGGACAAAGGGAACTATATAAGTTTTATCTTGTAGGGGAAGCATAGAAAGCTTGTCCTTTTTTTTTTTTTTACCTTCATATACGATATACCCATATTAGTGGTAAAATTTACAATATTACACAACATTTATGAATACGCACATATACCCACATTCCTTACTGTTTTCTGCAATAACGAAAAATTCCTAAGAAACAAACATATTGGCAACATTTATGAATACCCACATCTATGTCATGTTATTCGAGTTGGGACGTGGTCCGGTCCGGTCGGACCTGGACCCGACCCTTCCGATCCAAACTTTGGACCCATACCCGGACCCGAGGTTGGGTCTACCCATTGGGTCCTGGGTCTAGTCAGATCCATTGCCGCCACTTTGCATGCAATCTTTTGTGAAAAATATATCCTGGACATGGTTTTTATGAGTCCATGTAGAAATGAGTCACCTCTTAAAAATCTATTTTTGAGGTGGATTTTTTTTACTTAATTTTTAAGGACATATAATCTCTAACATGGAGATCATGAATATGAATAAATAATTTTTAAAATTAAAAATAATATTTTTATGAAAAACAAATTTAGACCATTAATTTCAATTGTTTTTAGATGGATCACCATAATTTATACCTCGGGGACCGCAAATGTAGAATGCGATCGCCGCGCATGAAACAATTTTCCATATATTCTCTCGGGTATTCATTCAGGACATTTTGACGGAACATCTCAAGTCATCTACAAAGAAAGACTTGGAAGAATAATTTACAAAGACGGGCAAAAGATTTAATAAAATAAATGGAATTCCCCAGGAACCTTCCCCCTGTTGACCCATATACCATAGAATTCCCCAGGAACATTCCCTCTTTTGACCCATAAACCATAAATCGACAATGAAATAAACTTTTATACACAATTAAACCAATGAGATTTAACCATTCCACGACTATAAATAAAGTTGCCATTCAAGAACTCCCCATGATTGCTAGAAACCCACCATCCATTGTAATGGCAAGGTCCTTAGTGGAGCTTGATGATAATAGTGGAGCAATTTTTGGTGTTTTCTTTAGCAAGGAAATTTCAGGTTATTTATTTCTTAATGGGTTTTTCATTATTTTTATGCTGGCAATATCCATCTCCATAATGTCTATGATCATATTCTCATGTGCTGATGGTGTAAAGGACGAAGATAAACGTGATGGGGGTGGTGATGGTGGCGTCCGCAGTGCTGCTTGCGGTGGAGGAGGTGGTTGTGGTGGTGGAGGTTGTGGTGGTGGAGGTTGTGGAGGTGGTTAAATAAATTAAGGATACCTAGTGTTATCTGTTCTTTTTACTGTCTGTATTAATAAGGGCAATTTATTTTGCTGTACATGTTTGTGATGTGTCCTATTTGTACATGGGTGGAGGTTTGTATGATATTTAAGTATGAGAAAAGTTAGTCATTGCAGTTTCCCTACTTGATGTGCCTATGGATATATAAGGCTCATTACAATATAGTTAAAAAGAAAGAAATGGGAAAATTACAAAGAGAACAAATATCAGGGGATAGAGGCCATGATTTGCCTTCTCTCTAAAAGAAACTAGTATGTCTGTTAACAGGGTTGGGTCGACCTTGTGACAAGTTTACTCAACCCCAGTCCGGATTAAAACCTGTGAATTGATCCGTCAGCGTTCCAATGGATCTGGACCCAGCTGGGATTGGGTCCAGGCTTGACATTTTCAAGTCAACGTTGACCCGGCCCAAATACATACACAGACATTAAGGCCTACGACTTAGCGCACACGAAACCTAGAGATCAAGTCCTGTTCAGGGTCAAACTAACATATTTATAGTTTTATACCCCTAGAAACTTGATGCCCAAACTAAAGGTCTTGAGTTCCACTCCCAGGTCCCAACTTAACATTTAGATAGACCTTAAAGGGGGGAAAAGAAAACATTATAGCCTGTGCTCACCTCGAAATCTACCTGTAATGCAACTTCCCTCTATATATTACATCATTTTGTGATAAAAATACCCAAGCAAGTTGCTAGAACAAAGCAATAGAGCATATTATATGATGCGTCTGTTACAAGGATTTCCTTCAGAAAAATAAAATAATCCTCAAGAGAAATTCAAAGAAGAAATGTTCTTGACTTTGTACCAATCTTGGCTTCTATTGTTTCTTACTTTGGCCTTAAATTTTTCAGGCATACCTATGAGATGCAACTCTCTCAATGTACTAACTTGTTGCAACCCTTCAGGAAGCATTTTGAAATTAGGGCAGTTGTAAATACTCACACTTGTGAGGCATGGAATGGCTCCCACCTCTAACTTCCAAACCTCTAACTTTGACAAGCCCCAGAGCTTCAAGGATTGAAGATTTGGGAACCCCCCATTTGAGCACTTAATTACTTTACCCACAAATGAACCTTGAAGCAATGAAAGAATTCGCAACTCCGGCAAGTGTTCAAGGGTAACAAAGGGATCGTCACTAAGCTTGGACTTAACCAGTGTGAGCTTGGTGAGATAATGAAGGGAATTGGACCACTCAGGTAGCTTTTCTAGGACACCCACTATGCTCAGCTTCGTGAGAAACCTAGGAGGTGAGAAGCCTTTCAATTGAAGCACCGTTTTGTCATTGGCTCCGTAGAGTGTCAAGGAGTAGAGATCATCTAATTTATTGAGAGAGCTGCATAGCTTCATTTCGTGATCTCTTCCGACTCCATTGAGTCCCAATTTTCTCAATTGGGTTAACATGCCCAACCTTTCACAGAGAGCAATGGAGCTGTATAGCCCTGTTAGGGTTAGAATGCTTGGTGTATTGCATATTTCATGGACCCCTTTCATTTGCTTATCCATATAAGGCAGTTGAAGATGCCTCAAACATTTCGCATTGAATAATGAACTAGGCATCAGTTCCAAGTATGTTTCCCTAAGATCAAGAGTTTGCAATGTAGAAAGTTTACTCAGTGAATCAGGGAACTTTTTGATCTTGGTCTTCCTTAGACCCAAGTACCTTAGATGAATAAGGTTTCCAAGTTCATTTGGCAAGCTCTGGATATGCAGACCTTCAAGATCCAAAACCCTCAAAAGTTTTGTACCTTGAGCCAAGAGGTCTGCAATTTTGGAAGAACCCTCGCACTTGCCAAACACTAGTAGGGACCGAATGTACAAGGAATTAATGTTTAAGGGGAAATTTTCACAACCTTGTTGCATCGAGATGCGACGAGTCTTTGGGGGAATATTCAATTCTCTTTGTTCACAAACACATGAGAAGTTCTCCTTCTCGGCAAAATGTACAGAGAGCTCACGCAGTAAATCATGGATTAGACATGTTTTTATGCGTCCAGTAGAGCTCAACCTTCCTACTTGTAACATGCTTCTGCTAACAAGATCCTCAAGGTAACCCTCAGCCAAATCCTCCATTGTTTCCCCATGTTTTGCCTCTATGAATCCTTCGGCTACCCATAGTCGAATTAACCGCGTCTTAGGAATCTCAAAATCTTCTGGGAAAATACCAGAGTGCTTGAAACAGGACTTGAGGTAAAATGGTAAATCTTGGTAGCTCAAAGACAAGGCCGGGAGTACTTGGCCACCAGCTTGTGTCTCCCAATTATGGTTCTCAAGAACCTTTTGCCATTCTCTCTCTGTAGGAGGCTTCCTTGACAAAAGAGCTCCCATGACAACAATGGCGAGCGGCAAGCCCCTGCATTTCTTCACAATACTGTCCCCAATACCTTGTAAATTTGGAGGACAACTTCTAAAACCAGTTGCTTGGAATGCCTTTTTACAAAAGAGCATCCAACTTTCTTCATCAGATAAGACTCGGAGGGCGTGAACCCGGTTCGTGATGCCACCTGGTGTGGCTACATCCATCTTGCGAGTCGTGAGGATTACTCGGCTTCCCTGGTGCCCTTCAGGTAATGCAATTCTCACCCTTTCCCATACTTCTGTGTCCCATACATCATCTAGAACAATGATGTATCTCTTATCTTCTAAGTGATCATACAATTTCCTTGCAAGTTCCCCTTCGTTCATATTCTCAAGCTCAATTGAAGACCCCATGATTCCTTTTACCATCTCCTGTAAGAGATCCCACACATGAAAGGATTGGGACACATGGACCCAACCTTGGCATTCAAAGGATCTCTTAATTTGCTCACTATTGTAAACTTTCTTAGCAAGAGTGGTCTTCCCTATACCACCCATTCCAGCAAAGGAAATCAAAGTGAGTCGAGAATCGACGTCTAAAATCCATCGCTCGATGGATTTTGCATCTTCGTCTAGACCCACAATACCATCAACATCAGGGACAAGAGGAAATGAAGGGCTAGCAGAATTACCATTTCTATTCCATGGACTTGAAGCTTCTTGTTGTGTGATTTGGAATTGGTAACGCAACCTTCGCTTCGAGATCTCTTCGATACGAGCTTTGATCTTACGTATCTCGATCGCAACCTCTTGGACTCCCTTGAATCTTTCGACATGACCACATAACCAATTTCTTGAGCTCCCTTGGAGTTGCTTCGCGCTTCGCAGGCTGAATTTGTCAAGAACATCTTCGACATCGTAGACCACATCTCTTACTTGTTTCATCCAGACCTTCACACTTTCTTCTCTCGCTGCCCTCTGGTCGGCATCTCTGAGAAATGCTTGTATACTCTCAAACTCACACTTGATCCAGTCAATTTCCTCATCCAACCCCCAATAGAGTTGTACTCTATCTGTGAGTAACTCCCCCAAATTGGAGAGCAAATAGGTGACCACAGCCTCAGCCATATCTCTCTCTCTCTCTCTCTCTCTCTCTCTCTCTCTCCTTTTGTCAGTCAACTTACAACCGCTGCTCTTGAGAACCAAAATTCAGAGGCACAGGGCTAAACCTCACCCTTTCTGAAGAGGGTGTGATTTCTATAAGACCGAGGCTCCAAACCATCCAAGTAAGGCGCGCCTTCAAATAGAGTCGAAATATGTCATTTCAATACTGTAAACTTTTGTGACAGCCTTGAAAATTTATTTTCATAGTTAATTATAAAATTTAAAGTTTAAAAAATTGTTTAGATCGAGCAGATCTATAAACATTTGAAAATCTTGAAAATTGATGGTCCAAAAATACATTACAAGATTCACTCTTTTCAGACTTGAAATCCTCATTTTTTTTCATGTCCATACATCTTGAGGTTGAGATGATCAATTTGAATAATTTTGAGTATTGAAACAACATCTTCTAATGAATTTTTTAGGTATGTCTTAATTTTATTGTTTAGAGCCTCACATTTATATATACTTTTTCCTTTTAAAAATTCAATCCCAACACTAAGGAGTATAAAAACGTTGGTGCCGCGATTGTAAGTTGGCTGCCAAAGGGTGAGGGTTGTATAAGGTGCCCACCGGATACTAGGCAATTAAGGCACCTCTAAATTTTGTCGGAAGATATAGTTTTTGTGTCTGATATTTTACAATGATTTAAAAAACTATATTTAACCTTAATTATAAACTTTAAAATTTAAAAATAATATACATCAAACATACCTATAAACACTTGAAAATCTTAAAAATAGACAATTCTCGTAACTTGTTACGAAATACACTACTTTTAGATCTTGCAATTCTTTTTTTTTTCTTAATATTCATATATTTCATAGCCAAGATGATCAATTGGAAGGTTTTACAATTTTGGAATACCCTTTTCTACTATAATTTTGAGGTGCACCTTATTTCTACATAAACTTTTTCCTTAAAAAAATAATAGACTTTGAGATTATAAACACTTAAACATGGATTTCCAAAGTTTGGGTACATATTCAATTTTGTGCTTTTTTTTTTAAAGCACGTAAAATGTGTATGACTTCGTTGATTTCATGTTTTTTTGTTTTCTCCTGACCACTTTGTTGAGGAGGTCATACCCAAAAATTTAGGACTCCGAAGTAGAAATGATCCCGCGGGAGCATACAATCTTTTAGATTTTGTAAATACTCATGTGCAGGCCTCATGGATGCGACTCTACATTAAACTAACGCTTTATTGCCCCAAAACTCATTATAAAATTGTATTGAACATTCGAATATAGTACTTTGAATATCTCTCCAGCTATAACAACTCTCATGTTAATTATAAAATAATAAATGGAAAATCAATAATCATGGAGCCGGCATTTTTTTTTACTTTTCAAATTGGCTTCCTTGCTTAATTTATGTTTAGATGTAGACTAAAACGCATTTTTCCAACCCACCAAGTTGATTTATTCAATAACTAAAAAAAATTCTTCATTTAATAAAAGATGAGGTTGGTAAGCCCATGGGTTTATACAACTGCACCTAAAAACCTAGCTGGAAAACTCATATCCAGCGTCAAAAAAACGCACCTGGCGCCCGAAAATAAATCGATTTTGCTTCAAAAATTCAGTGGGAAAATTCGGGTCAAAAATACATATCGCAAAAAAATAAGTTAAGTTATTTAATTGTGAATATTTCGGATTTAGTTAAAAAAAATACAGTGAAAAAATCGGATATGTAAATTTAACGCAATATAAGATTATGATTTACAACTATTGTATAGATATATTAAAGCCATTAAACAATAACTTTATAGCTTTACTAGTTTCATTAGAGTAATACTTGATAATTTTTTGTTGAAAGTTTCAATAACTCCTACAACAATACTTACTATGTTGTCACAACATAAAACATACTGTAGATTTATTAGTAGTATAAAATGAAACAACAACAATATTAAAAACAAGAACTGTGAACCAAAGTATGTATATGATCATTTTTTGTAAAATAGTGGTCCATCCAAAATGCTATGTTGTATAACCAATGAAATAAAAGATAAAAATAAGATATGAAATTAATCAAACTTCTCTATGCATAAAAAATAAATAAATAAAAATAAATGCTTAAGAAAATTTGAATCTAACTTCTAGCTACCTAAATCTTTAATATCATTGAATCTACCTCTTGCTCGATATAAAGATGCTATGGGTTTTAAAATAAAATAAAAAACATTCATTGGATTACTCTTCCTTTAATTCTACCTATTAGTTTGAGATATACAATTGGTTTGATTACATTTTTGTGGAATATAATGCTTGTATTTTTTTTGTGCACTTTTCTAAGTAAAGAAGTTTTTTAGAAAAAAAGATAAAAAATAGAATTAAATCGGTTCTATTAAGAAAAAACAATTTTTTTAAGATCTTTTGAAAAATTCGGAGCTCTAAACAGATTCCAAAAAGTCTGAGATATTTTTAAAAAAAATCATGTTCTATGGAGGCTTGAAATGGAGTGTTCAAAAAATATGTTGGAAGATTGAACATTTGTAAGGTTTAAAATTGATTTTCTTTTCTTTTCTTTAAGACTCATATTCGTCGTGGTGGAGATAATGGATTTGCATAATCTCCAGATCAAGACCGGTTTATGTGATGAAGTTTTGGTGACAGGTATAGCCGGGACAACTTTTTATGAGAGATTATGTAGCAGCCTTACCAAATACTTTCCCTCATCGGAAAGTTGTGCACATACAATTAGAATCCGTGAAAGAATTTGGAAAAGATCTTTTCCTATAGGAGAAATGTTTCCATGGAAACCCACCCTGACCCATGATCTCAGCCATCCAATCTAAATAGATGGCTGAGATGGCTTGGGTTACAATATCATAAGTTAGCTCTTAATCGTTAGATCATGATCGGAAGGCTTAGAGTTTTTTATTTTTAATTTTTATTCTGTAAATAGTTTTAAGCCAGAATTTGGGACATACATAGATCTGACAATGGAGCACATGTAAAAATAAAAAATAATTATTTCCCATTATGAAAAATTACCAGAATACCCCACAAAATTTCAGGGGTATTTGGTCATTTATTTTTATGGGGAATATTTATTTTTTATTTTTTCTAGGTTCGTCCTAATTTTATGATGGGACGCTCAAAATTTCATTAAAAAATGTTTTGTAGAAAAAAATAAAAAATAAAAAAGTGTTTGGTGTGACATTGTGGTATGAACAATCGTAGCCAATCGATTCAGATCGAACGGCTAAGAAGTGGAGTCCCATATAACTTATATGTTGTAGAGGTCACATAGAAAGTCCCCCTTTCTTAAAACCCTTTACTCAAAATAAGGCAAGCACAAACTGTGAAGAGAAATGCGTGCACCACAAAGGCCTACCCGATGGGTCTCATAGTTTGCTAGCACATCCCCAACCGTCCATCTTTTACATTGGCGGGTTGAGGAAGTACTAGCATGTTATAGGAAACCTTGCTGCAAGCATAGTACAAAAATATTGATTAAGACCGATAAAGATCTCTCACTTCTTGGAATAGGCTCAAACCTAAGTGGTTAGGGTGGTAGCTCGCTACAACATAAGATATTGAGTTCTATTCCACCACTGGTAGAGACCCCATTAGATGCATATCAAAATTTGAATGCTACACAAGTTTTATTTTATTTTTGTTAATTTTATTTTTAGAGGTTGGCTAGATTTTTGTTATTGTTTTTTATTATGGTTAAATATTATAAATAAGATTAATAGAGATTTATTTTTGGTTTAGTTGATAAAGTCTTTGTTTCAAGAAGTATTTTTTTTAGTAGAACCTTTTATTTTGGTATGACTGTTTTAGAAAAGTTTATGTTTTCCATATTAGGAAATAAGGACCGTTTTCTTAATGAGATAATTTAGGAAATTGCTTGTATTTCCTAGATGGGGATTTATTTAAGGAAAAGTAAATCTTTTTAGTAAGAGTTAGGTTTTTTTTGAAAGGCACTCCTATGAATAGTTATTATCATTAGTTGAGATAAGAAGTGCATCCGTCTTCTATGGATAATTATTATCTATCTTTTTAACTTGAAGAGGTGGTGCCTATGTTGTCGATAGGCACGTGGACTTGAATGTATCTCATGGGAAGGAAAAGAAATGAGACCGATTGAATAGGGTTATAAAAGGTGGAACGTTTATTATAAACAAAGGATGAATTTTACGAATGAAAATTTGATTTTTGAGATCGTGTAGGGTAAGAGAGAGAATCCTTGATGGGTGTTTATTCTTCTCTTTTGCTTGTAGGCCTACGTCGGAATACTCGTATCCGTGTTTTGTTTTTTTTTCATGCGATTTTCTTCACGATTTTTTTTTTCTCCCTCTTAAACATAGTTATCTTTTCCATTGTAATATACTGGTAAATTTTATAGTGTATCAGGTGGTATCAGAGCGTAGTCCACTCTTGTTGATCGTGGTGTTTGTTGATTGGCATCATGGCTCATGGAAAAGGCATCTAGACTTAACCCACTTGTTGATTGTGGTGTTTGTTGATTGGCATCATGGCTCATGGAAAATGTCTGTGGCCGGGCATCTGGACTTAACCCATCTAGCGAGAACGAAACCTACGAGCTCTCCTTGAGATAGATATCAAAAGTTTGAGAAGGCCTAACATCAACACACTATTAGAGCGTAGTCGATTCTTGTTGCTCATGGTGTTCGTCAACTAGCATCATGGCTCGTAGACAAGGTATATGGCCGGGCATCGGGACTCAACCAATCAAGCAAGAATGAAACCTCCGAGCTCTCCCTGAGATAGATATCAAAAGTTTGAAAAGGCCTAATGTCAACACACTATGATGACAATAATGAGTCGGATGCTATTTTCGAGAACCTGTTTCATACCAACGCTCTATATTGGGAACCTCAGGGTCGGGAGAATGATCTATTTCCTCATAGTCGGAAAATTGATCTACCTAATTTTGATGAAAAACCAGTTGAAAATGAATAACGTGTAGTTTTGGATCTTCAATTGCAATCATCATTCTTGGATGTCACAGGTACATCTTTGATGCAGTTCTTGTTTTTTATGAAGAACAAGATGACATGAAAGAAATTATCCTTGAGGCAGCAATGATATCTAATTTTCTTATCGATGGAGAGTTTTTTATGAAAAACAAGATGACAGGAAAGAAATTATCTTTGGGGCAGCAATGATATCTAATTTTCTTATCGATGGAGAGGTGGTGAATCAAGATGACTTGATCCTAGAAGAGATCGAGCCTATGGAGATGTATGATGAAGAAACTGATGAGATCGAGCCTATGGAGATATAGGGCGAAGAAACCAATGCATTTGTGGTGTAACCCAAGGTGAAGCTTGAGCGATTTCAGATATTGCATGTGGCTCCTCGAGGGTTTCTCATTTTCTAAGTACAATCATTATAGTTTGTTCAATGCAATAACACAAAGGTCGCAGGATCGTGTTTGCAAAATTCAAGTTGAAGAAGGTTGCGGTATAAATACAATGTTTATTTTAGCACATTTTAAAACTCGAGATCGAGTTTTTTCCAACCAGAGGAGAATGATGCAGATCAAAAATTCGGATTCTAAAATTTTTTTTGTTTAATTTTAGAGGTTGGGTAGACTTTTTTATTTTTATTTATTAAGGTTAAATATTAAAAATAGAATTAATAGAGATTTATTTTTGCTTTCGTTGATAAAGTCTATATTTGTTTGAAGCTTTTTTGTTTTTTTTTTCGTTTGATGTTTTGCCAAACTAACCTTAGACTAATTTTCACATGTTTGCCTTAGTAGCATTTTCGTCAGTCACCCAAAATTCACCCACGGTTCAATACAAAGAAAAATAGCAAATAAAATATTGAGTGTACTATTAAAACTAAGGGTGTTTTTGTAGAAACTTTAACGCAATGAAGTTGATCTAATTTTTCCGCAATGTTGTTTGGTGGGAAAGAAGTTTTGCTAACGATTTTTGGCGTTATTTTTTTTTTTTTGAAGCTGGTGGTTTCCGTGGTTTCTAGGAAAGCACTATCCGAACATTTAACGTTAATTTGTGGAAGAGCGGTGCTCTATTTATTTAGGTATGAAAATATGAAAACACTAAACAAGTTACTTTTTTATGACAAAAATATGTCACCCTCTAAACCTGTGTTTCTCAAGCCAATCCGGCACATTGATCGGTTTTTTATTTCTATTGAAGCCGGTCCAGTGCACAGTATGTCTAACTGACTACTTGTTCCCAATCAAGTCAATCAGGTACATATTTTGCCTAACTAGCTTCATTATAAAGCAATCACTATTAAAGCCAGTCCGGCACACACATCTCTCTGTCCTTAGAGAGGAAAAAGGTCTAAAAATGTGGATTTAATATGGGGCATTTTTGTTATAAATTTTTTTTTTTCCTCAATGGGATGAATGGAAAAAAAACAATTATAGGGTAATTAGTGGTATCAAAAATATTGAGGAGAGGGTGGGGGGAGGATGATGTCTAGAAAGTTGGGTATGGGAGGTGTCCATGCTTTTTCCTTGCTACAAAAATATGGCCCATCGTGACCTCTTCGGAGGAAATCCTAATGAGCGCAAGAAAATCTATTATTGCCTTTGATTACGAAATTTGTAGTTCTAAATCACCGGAGCAAATTCGATGGATCTATAAATACTTGAAAATATATATTTCAAATAGCATATTATAAGATACATTATTTTTAAGGTTTGATATCCATTTTCTTTCTGATACTATTTTCATGAAGTCTAGGCATTATGGAAAAAAAAAAAAAAAAAAGTCTCTCCCCAAAATCTTATCCAAAAAAAACTTAAGATATAAGAAATCCGTAAGATAGTTTTAAAATCTATTTCTATTGTTGAATATTAAATTTGTAGCTTTAAAAAATGGTATAGATCTTATTGATGGATGAACACTTGAAAATGGACCGTCTAGATAATTTGTTCAAATATACACTAATTTTAGGGTGTAGAAACTTTTTTTTTTTTACAACTAATGATCAATGGTGACCGATCGATTTGAAGTTTTATGGGAACTATAATTTTAAACGAGTTTTGAGGTGAGGCTTTATTTCTTTTCGGACCTTATTTTATACTCTTCGTTTCTTGTTCATATCAATAGTCTATAAATTGTTAAAGTCGAACGTATGACTTTTCCCATGGAAGAAGGACTATTTCAGATAAGCTTTGCTTTCGTCCTTACCTTTCTATCAATCAAAACCCCACAGGAATAATGAATAGTTGACTTCTCTAAAACTTAGTCTCCAAGTCTAAGAAACCCTAATCGAGGGTTCGCAAAGAACAAGTTCATTTTGTACAACACCAAACCATGCTTCACCCAATAATAATGATTAAAAGAAAACACCAATTTTGGAGAATTCAAAGTGAAAATGGCAAACGAATACCATTACCAGAATGAGATTGGGAACATGAGTGGTGCTCTTTGGATAGGACTCGGTATTGAACCAGAGCGAGTTTTTGGTCTTGCTAAACTGGCTTGATTGTTACAGTAAAATTGTTCGGACCAAATTTTAAAAATAAAAATAATAATAATATAAAAAAATCTACAATGCTAGTTTATACGACAAAAAAAAAAAAAATTCCCCTCTATTTTACAAGTTCTTCCATCAAAGCTAGCCAAACGATCCAACCAAAATCGATCAAATGATAGTTTTAATCAATGGTTTAAAAACCGGATCAGTGACCAGGATCGGGCTTCCAAAAAATCGATCCGGATCGACAAATCGGCGATTCGGATCGTCGAATCGGCGATCCGGATCGGGAATCGGGTGAATCGGTCAGAATAAAGCTTAAAAAAAATCCGAAAAAATTATTAAAATTCATTATAAATTATGTTTTTTAGGAATTCAATAAGACATGAGGGTAGTTCATTAAGAATTTTCATGTTTTTGAATGAATATGCGAATATTGATATGTTCTTTTCCTGTATGAACCGTCATTCAGCATTTAATTTACATCACACAAAAGGATAAACATATAATTATCATGGAATAAGTATATCAACATACATGGACTACAATAAAACATAAAATTAGTAACATATGATCTAAAAATAAAATGATAGACGACGTTATTGTTCTTCTTGGTCGCGCTGATGCCATTGATTGAATTCGTTTAACAATTCATTGATTCGATCTAAAAACGAATCATCGATATTAGCAGGCGTCTGACTATTCCCAAATCCCTAAGTGTTAGTGTTTTGTTGTGTTCCCAATCTAAAATCCCCGAAGATTGTCCATCCTTCATGCTCACCTGCACTGTCGTGTTCATTCCTACACTGTTGCTGTTGGGACTCGATATGTGAATAATATAG